CCGCCACAAAGCCTCGTACTGATCGCGCGTTTCTCTCATTATTGTATTTTCATATATTTGTTAGTCGTTTGTTTTGTGTCTCGTTAATTTGTTAATAATCTGTAGTGTATCGTGTTGTCGTAATATAGAACTATTTCTCGTATTGTTTCGTTTAATTTACCGACATCGTTTTGCTTGTGGCCGGACGCCGTTCGGGTTCGATTCCTGAACGTATCAACTGTTAGTGGGTTGATACCCGAATATAACCCGCTACAAATCATTTATTAATAAAGCTTATTAAATATAAACAATTCCTTCTATCAGTGAATGGACAACTTATATATTAATTGTAAAAGTGAATTATATAGACTTACTTAATTACCGCATCCACGTGTTCCGCAACTCCCGGATCATTCTCACTAGAATACGTAACTTCCATATTTTACTGTATTCAACTGACACAAATTTATATTTATATCCAGTAAACTCCAGTCGTGCGTCGGAGCGGACACACACACTTTTTTTAAATGTATTTGTGTTGTAATTGTACCCACCGAACATTTTGTTACATATTTTATACTTAGAATAATTACACACATTTATAATAACAAAATATGTACTTATTCTATAAAATTTGTCGTGGGGCGTGTTGTGAACTCACTCGAATAAGTACCACGGCCCTGATTATTTTTGCTGTGTTACAGCAATGCGTTCCGGTTTGAAGGATTGGGCAGCCGTTGTTATACAGAACTCATGTCTCAAGAAGGGGGCAGCATTTACGCCGTTGTGACTTTTGGTTCCGGTAACCACTTAACGTTAGGTGGGCCGTGAAATCGTACAGCCATATATATATTTAAAAAATTGGGTGTTTAGCCCCACTCATCATGTACTTCATATATTATAATAAAATTAGTGTCCGTTTCCGGGATTCTGTATGGACGTTATTGTCTTATGACCTCTCGCCTATTAGGTAACGAGAGTCAACAATTTAAGACATCAAATTATTCATGCCATATTTCTAAAATTAGGTGATGAAAGGCTATTGGAACAATGAAGCAGCGACCAAAGAGACTGTGGACAGCGACGGGTGGCTACACACCGGCGACGTTGCTTATTATGATGAGGATTATTATTTCTACATTGTTGACCGCACGAAAGAACTCATAAAAGTCAAAGGCAATCAGGTATGTATTCATAATAATAACAGCATAATTATATACTACTAGCTGACCCGGTAGACTTCGTAGTGCCTCAATCGATAAATAGAAGACCTAAACGTTTATGTAAAATAAACTTAAAACAAAAAAAGAATCCGTCCGACGGGGGACACATCGAAGGGAAAACAAAATTGTTATTTTTATTTAATTCCGAGCATTTTCATATTTATCTACCTTTTAAACCTTCTCTGGACTTCCACAAATAATTCAAGACCAAAATTAGCCAAATCGGTATAGCCGTTCTTGAGTTTTAGCGAGACTAACGAACAGCAAATTATTTATATATATAGAGATTAGTGCTTGAAGATTCCTTTCACGCAAACAGCTGTGCACTCATATAGTATATTATAAAGTATCTTAGTTAAATATAGCATCAATATTTTTCTTGTTCTAATTAATTAACATAATTAATTAACATACAAATGCTGAAACTTTGAACATACTATTTGTTTGCCGTGTTCGAGAAGATGGCTTTCTCAGGTGTAGTGACGTGTATATTTTTGCAATAGAATTAACAAGGAAATCAATAAAGATAAAAAAAAATTTTTGGATCTGCTTTTTTTATACAATTGATTAGGAGATAAAAAGTAACATTAATTAACCTAATTTCACGAATAAGTTATATGGTTTCAAGTTTTCTTGCACGTTTTTTAGGTAAATTCCACTTGACATTTTTTTTTTGCTTTTTTTGCTTAGATGGGTGGATGAGCTCACAGCCCACCTGGTGTTAAGTGGTTACTGGAGCCCATAGACATCTACATCGTAAATGCGCCACCCAACTTGAGATATAAGTTCTAAGGTCTCAGTATAGTTATAACGGCTACCCCACCCTTCAAACCGAAATGCATTACTGCTTCACGGCAGAAACAGGCAGGGTGGTGGCACCTACCCGCGCGGACTCACAAGAGGTCCTACCACCAGTCAAATTTTGATTAGTATCTAACAATAAGTAAATCACTATTTGCAGGTGTCACCAACTGAAGTGGAGAATGTTATATTGGAACGGCCCGAAGTAGCAGATGTGGCAGTCGTTGGCATTCCAGACCCTCTTGCTGGAGAACTACCTAAAGCCTTTGTAGTCTTGAAATCAAATCACAAACTAACAGAGAAAGAGGTTTATGATACAGTAGCACAAAAACTCACAAAGTACAAGCATCTCGAGGGTGGTGTAGTGTTTATGGATGCCATCCCAAGGAANAATGTTATATTGGAACGGCCCGAAGTAGCAGATGTGGCAGTCGTTGGCATTCCAGACCCTCTTGCTGGAGAACTACCTAAAGCCTTTGTAGTCTTGAAATCAAATCACAAACTAACAGAGAAAGAGGTTTATGATACAGTAGCACAAAAACTCACAAAGTACAAGCATCTCGAGGGTGGTGTAGTGTTTATGGATGCCATCCCAAGGAATGCTGCCGGAAAAATAATGAGAAACGAACTAAAAGTTCTAGGAGGAAAATCGAAACATTAATATAAAGTGTTAATATGTATTTTAAATATTGTAAATAGTGAAGTGTGATAGTTTTGTGATATATTTAATTAATTATGTAGTGTAAATAGGAATGATCCCTATCTAATTTTGAGAAAATTATTTTTGTTATTATAATTAGTAAATGAATTAAAGTATTTTGTTACTTGATTTTTATTACAAAACATTTTTTTTATTGTATGTGCACCAACTGCACAAATCATACTGCAATCATCAGATAATGTCTTCACAGTCTATCTGGTCTAAAACAGCAATTACCACTGCCACAACAAATTGTATACCTGTCTTTATTGAGACATGGCTTAGGACATTTTTTTTTTATTGCCCTTGTAGGCAGTCGAGCTTACGGCCCACTTGATGGTGGGTGGTTACCGTCGCCCATGGACTTCAGCAATGTCAGGGGCAGAGCCAACCCGCTGGCTACCTTGATATAGTAAAACTGTGGTACCCAAATAAATTTATATGAGCTACCTAATAAATAATATAATACCTAATTAAATTGACCTAAACCATTTATTAGGAATACATTATGAATACTTAACGGTAGGCATGAAAATAATTACTGTTTTTAATTAATTTTCAATGGATGATATTAAAAAAAAATCACAATCATTTCACATGTGAAATCTCATTGGCAATGATTTTTCATGGTTAAAATTACCACAGCATCACACATTCTTTATGATATTAAAAATGAAATATGAATTATAATATAAAATCACTACTGCTCCTTTAAGCAAAAACTACATTAAATAATTGCATTTATTTTTAAGCAATTAACTTTAACTATGTACTGATGTGCCTTCTCAATCAGAGTAAATCACAAGACACAAACTTACAAGTAGCATTCTATTTTTGAATTAATTGACTGACCTGCAAAAACAAAGGAATTTCATTTCATTTCCGAAACAAATGATTTTGAGATTACTTATTTCAAGGAAAATAATACTTTAGGAACCTCAATTTAAAATCTATTTTTTAATACTCTCAATACTCTTTCTATCACGCTCGCTCATTCGTTCCTACTCGCTCGCTCTCTTACATATGACATTTCACAGACTAAATCGATGCCTCCAATGAACACTACGCTAACTCCAAATTCGTAGGTTTACAGGAGGAGCGTTTAAATGAAAAAAGTTGATAAAATCTTTATTATTGTAGATAAATTTATGGTTTTTTTTGGTGTAACTAGCTGATTTACTCTTGCTTCGAACCCCATCAATAATAATTTGTAATACTTTTAAAATAGTGAAGTGATTTGCATGAAAAACGAAAATTTCAAAATTTTGAGTTAGAGTAGTGTTCATTGGAGGCATCGAAATGAAGAGAGGTAGCAGATGCAATGTATGAAATTGCATTTCATACGAAATTTCATATGCTACTTGTGAAATATTCCATGCCTACTTAACAGTAAAAAAATTTTCTATCACATTTTGCAGCTTGAATTGGCATTGGGAATCTACACTTAAAATATATTCAGATTTCCAGGATATACATTTTGAATTTTATTATAAAATAGAAAGAAACTTAGGTACTTAATAATAACTTCTTATGAAGTCACAGTCACAATTTCAAATGATTAAATTAAATTATTCATTTAGGATTCTGTTTTACTGTTCCCCTCAGGATCTTCAGTTGCCTTCCTTTCAATTTCCTTGGATGTTGGGTCATCTTTTTTCTCAATTTCTGGCTCTTCATTTGCATTCAGAACTTTGGGTTGTGGTAATTCAGAGTTCACATCAGATATTGAATAATTATCAGATTCCAGAGACACCTGGTTTGTTGCTTTTTCTGGTTCCATGCTTGGTTTTATATCTAGTGCTTGCTCTTGAGAATCTTCTTTGTTACTGTCCGATTGGTTTGATTCCTCCTGTATATCAATCTGACAATCTGGTTTAGGTGAATTGCTGTTACCATCAGTATTATCACTTGATGATGAGCTCTCCTCACTAGATGTTAAAACTTCAGATAAATGCTTAGAGACAGGCTCATCTTTTGAGTCTGAACTACTATCGTCTGTAGAAGTTATAGATGGTGACTCAATCTCTGTTTTGTTTTCAGTTTCTGATGAGTCTCCTTGAGTTTCTTCTTTAATAGTAATCATCGACTGTTCATCAAGTTTTTGTTCAATCATTTCTGTATCATCAACTTTAATTTCTGGTATTACCAAGGTGATATTAGAGGTGTCTTCCACATTTCTATCAGATTCAGTTTTATCAACTGCTGCCGGCACAGTGACAATTTCCATTTTTTGTTCACTATCAATTTTTGTTTTAACCTCTGATGGTGCTTCCTCAAGTTTTATTTCTGCAGTTTTATTCGTACATGTTTTGAAGTCAGATGGTGTGGCAGACTCTAATTGTTTTGCATTATTGTCTTGCACTTCCATTGGAGTATCTCTTTTAGTTATCAACCTGGTTTCAACATCATCTACAGAAATGTGAGCATCTGATGAGCAGGGTTGTGGTTCTGAATTTCTCTGCTCTGTAGCCTCTTTCCATGATACATCTTCCATTTCAACATCTACATTATATTCTGAATTGTTGTCTGAGCCGTTAACAAGATGTTCCGCATTGTCGCCATTTTCTGGTTCTGGCTGACGCACAATTCCTGGCTCTCTGGTACTTACAACCAAAATGTTCTTTTCAATTGCCCTCATAAACTTGTCAACGCGGTTGTATTGCTTACGAGGATATGTAAGTAATTCACAAATCCTTTGTACCGTAAACGGGGCCGATGTAAAAGATTCCAAACGTTCTATCAAACTATTCTTCATTGTATCGTAATTAAAAGGGTCCACGTTAGGATATGGAGGAATATCTGTATTTGGAGTAGTGTCGTAAAAGTCTGTGATGACGTTTAACAATTTTTCTTTGAATAAACTTTTTACTAGAGGCCATTGGTACACAGGATCACCGGTTCGCGCTACATACGCCAAGTATTCGTTTAACTCTTGTGGTATAGATTTAGGTTTGCGTTTGGAAAATTCTTCCAAATAACCATATATATCATCAGCATTTTCCATGTTTCTGTTTGAAAATCAATGCTAAATGAGTAAGAAATATTGGATCCCAAATGATCCCAATATTGAATATAAAATAAAATATAAAATAAGTACCTTAATGTTATTTTAATGGTAGCTGAAAATCACAGAACACTATTACTTCTAGCGAAGCTGAAAATTGAAATCGGGAAGACGTCAAAAATGTCAAAATGCTTAAGTTCGTTTGAATTTTTCAGTTGGACAGGCATAGGGTATCCGATATATAGATTTTAATCTTTTTGTTGTTGAGCTTAGGCCATTTTTTGTTGATCGTGATAGTGAAATGAAATAGAATAAAATGAAACAGACTGAAATTAAATAAGTTTAATGAAAGTAAATAAACAGCTTCGTAAAGTTGAAAAAAGTTATTGAGACTTCAATCTTTGTCTGAAATTTTTCTTGAAAGTTGATTTTGATAGAAGATTTGAAATCAGTCTTCTGTTTTTTAATTGTTATGAATAGTTTTATACTAATTTGATGACGAAGTAAGTTTTAAATTTTAGGCTGAGCACTTAATGCATTAATAGGTATTATGTTACATTAATTTTGTTGTGGCCTAAAGGATAAGACGTCTAGTGCATTCGTATCTTGCGATGCATCGGTCTTCGAATCCCGCTGGCAGGTAGGTACCAATTTTTCTAATGAAATATGTACATACTTGACAAATGAAGGGTTGGGTAGCCGTTGTACTGAGACCTTAAAATTTTAATCTCAATGGGTGGCGGCAGTGGTGAATTTACACTAGGGGCAGTCGGGGCAAATGCCCCGGGGCGGCAAATTTTTTAGGGTGGCAAAATTATGAAAGTGATTTTTTTTTCTTGTCAAGATTGCTCTCTACGTAAGTAATTAATTCTATAAATAATAATTTTCTGCATAATTGATAATTGAAGAAATTAAATTCATCCATTATTTGTGAATTATAATTTTTGCACTTTTGCTAAAGTTTATAATCACAATGATTTAATCAATTTATTTCCTTGGAGATTTAAAATAATAATCGACTTTTTATTTACCAGAATTAAAGAAATTTAATTATTTTTTTCATGTATAATTATGAGTCAGCCTTAGTTCCAAATTTATAATTGTTAAAAAAACCATATATCTTTATTTATGTTTTTGGAACCTCATCATTAAATTATGTGTAAAATAATAAATGGTTTTAATTGAACTCTTTTGTATTAATTATCATCCCTAATAAACCATCCTTATGCAAACTGTTTTTTTTTCCTACATATGCTGATAGCCTTGAGAGGCTATTTCAGCTTCACCCTAACGTTTGTAGGTGAGCTCACGGGGCTCAACCAGAGAGTTGCTAACTCTGACCCTAGCAAGAACAGTGCTTCGCAGAATCTACCACCGGATCGGAAACGCGACCCACTGAGAAACCGGCGAGAAACTCAGTGAGCTGTGTCTGTGGGTTAATTCGCTCGTCGAGCCCTTCGTCGCAAGCGACGGGTTCGACGAGGACGGTGACCGGTGCTTGTAGTTTTTTCCAGCGGCTACGATGAGAGGGTTCTCATGTCGTGCCGCCTTCTTAAAATGGCGCAGCGATGCCGACTGCAGATACTTACTAATTGAATCGAGCTCCAGATCATCGCGGAGATCCACGTTCCTCAGGAACCATGGTGCTCCGACGGCTATCCTGCAGAATCGGGATTGAATAACCTGAAGGGATTTCAAGTGGGTGCGGGCTACGTGAGCGAACACTACGCTTGCATACGTCATGACGGGGCGTATGCAAGTTTTGTAGAGAGTTACCTTATTACGGCGGGACAGTTTGTTTCGACTACAAAGCATTGGGTAAAGTCATCCTAGTATAAACGCGGCGCGGTCGCGTACCGTTTTTATGTGGGGACGGAATGTCATCCCTCTGTCGAGGGTGACGCCTAGATATTTGACTTTCGAGGCCACGGTATGGGCTGGCCAGAGAGAGTGATGGGGCTAACGGCGGAGGTGTTTGCGCGCCTATTAAGGAGTGGGATGCTCGAAGTGGTGTTCAGAGGGCGACCCCTTTTGAAGAGCACCGCTGTGCGTTTCGTGGGGTTGATGTCGATTCGCCACTTCCGGAACCACTTTCCCATGGTGGCTACTGCGATCTGGAGTCGCCGATGAAGCAACGACATCTTCCTACACGAGTAGTTGCGAACTGTAGGAAGTAGGAACACAGATTGTTATGTAAACAAAATTGTTCGTAGTCATAGCATGCGGCTGCCCCCGCAAGCTCCGTTGCTTTTTGCTTTTTAAGTTCAGTCGCGAATAAACGCTCCGATTAACCAGTTGTGTTATTTAATTACCTCACTTCCGACAACGCCCTGAACTTAGGTTATATATAATCTTACTCTATGCCCTGAACCATTATTGACCACTACTAAAATAACTCCTAAAAAACAATAAATGGCACATTCGGAGTGCCATCTTTTAACACTTAATAGAAAATGGTATGTTTCAGTTATAAACATGAAATTTTTACTAATGGGTAGCTAATACGATGTAGAATAACTTTAGGTAATAAAAAAATAGGTAAATGGGGCGTCTTTTTTAGAAATTTTAGGATTGTTGTAAAAATGTATGAAAAAATAACAGATTTATGCTAAAAAAAACATGTTCATTTTCAATTGAGAGTACGTTTTCTCCCACTTTGTCATTATATGAGGACGCCTAAATGCTTCCAATCATTATGGAATTTGTTTAACATTTGTTTTCAATATGTGCACATTATAAGGAATCACACTGTATAACATACATAAAGTTTCTAGTAAAGTTGAAGAAGAAAATATATAAACTATAATTAGTTTACGTAAAATTTAAGTATTGGGGTGGACTTTTTTCCGGTGCCCAGAAGCGGCATTAAGTTTAAATCCAGCCCTAGGTGGAGGTATTTACGTTGTAGATGTCTATGGGCTCCGGTAACCATTAACACCAGGTAGGTAGGTATTTCATTTCATTTCATGCCATGTTTCATAATATTCATTTCATTTCACTTCATATTATAATTTGCTGAGTTAATTACTACATTCATCAAATTACTTTCTCAACCTAATTTATCTATACCATCCCACGCTGCTAATTTAATTCATACTTACACTGATATTAATAATGGCCAACATGGACAGTTTCATTCGTTTTTTATTATTCATAAACTGTAAATAATTCAAACGGCGAAAAATATCTTATTACTTGACACTGGCTAATGCACAAGCCCGCACGGTTTAGCCACAATAAAAAAAGGTACCTACTATAATTTTAGTGATGTAAAGATGGAATAATACCGATATTTGTCAATATTACCTAATACGAATATATTCATGATGTAATATTATAATACCTTAACTAATACGTGAATATATCTTGATATCTTAATATGCTTCGATAAAACGGGTAAACGAGTTAAACTTATTACGGTATTCATGAAATGAGTTAATAATCATAGATAATACACATAAATTAGTTATTAAATTAATATAAATAGTATATGGTAGTAAATGTGTATTAATGTAGGGTCTTCATGTAATGTTATATATAGTTTTTCTTTGTTTTTTATATAATGAACCGCTTTTTTTTATGCATGCAGTCGGTACCTGTAATTGTGTTAGCATTTAGTGTGAAATCAATGTATATGATACCTGTAATGTTCTGTGCTGATGTATAACATGTTGGTACCCAATAAATAAAATAAAATAAAAATAAAAATATATTGTATCTAGGAATTTGACTTCATACTAAATATTTTACAAGTAATATTATGTACATTAATAGCCACGCTTGAAAGGCAAACGTGACTAAGCGACAATGCGTGAACTTTACAGTAGACTAATTTAAAGTTGAAATATCTGAAGAAAATAAAATATTTTAACGAATCTAGCTGTAGTAGAATCTAGCTAGTAGCTGTAGGATTTAAATGATTTTAATAGACCTACAAACTACTTAATAGACCTATTTTTTGCGCATCGAATATTGTTATTGCCTATCATTTATGTATAAAGCAGTTATTGTCGCTTAGTCACGTTCGCCTTTCATGCGTCGATATGAATATTATTATTAAATCAGAATTTGGTCAACATTGTACATTAATATAAACAACAATTTTGTCACATTATTTATTTCTTATTGGTGCATAAAAACATCAGCTTTTTTACTTTTTCTACTGAAAGACTGGTACGACGCCGTGTCGGTCAGAAATGAGTATTCTAGAATTCGGAAAAACCTTTGACACGGTATTGAGGCTAGCAGGTACACAACAGTTATAATATTATTATTATAATCCATGAATCGTTTGGTTAGAAAGTCATTCAAAGTCAACTTTTATTTATATTTTGAGAAGTTCTTAGAATATAATTAAATACCACCACAAAAATATATTATCATCCTAATTTATTACGTAAAAACACTTAATTTAGTTGTGGCAGTATTACATTTTGTGTAAAAATATTTTAATTTATGAAATTGTTAAACAATGTCAACTACCTACTTTCGTTTTTCAAATTATCGTTTTAAAACCAACTAATTCGAAGGAAATAGAAAATAAAATTAAAATAATGGAAATAAAGCTCACCGATTTTATTCCAATAAATGTGAAAATGCACTATTTTGTCTTGAGTAGAATCTTTAGTAGAATCAAGACATGAAGGTTCAAACATAAAAAAGTAATGCATTTGGAAATTCCCACTAGCATCTTTGACATGTAAAAAGTGCAATACAAAATAGTCCTTAAAGTCATAGCGAAATGTACTTATTTTCATTGCTCAGTATTTATCTCACTTACTCTTAGCGCATGCAGTATTGATATGGATGTGATAGACAGATATCCGCGAGACACGTACGGCGTATGCCAGTATATTTTCGTGTGATAGATACTTCGCTAGAAGTAACAGTGTTCTGTGAATAGATACAACCCGACCGATGTGAGCTGGCTAATATTATCAATAAGTGAATACGGAATATTAGCATATCAGAATGGGGTTGGCAACTGTCAAAGTGGCGCTGGTGTGCATTGTTCCCATAACATTCAATATTTGTATTGGAATTTTTGATTAAAAATTATTTTAAGCACAATGACGCGTTGTTTTGTGCCAATATGCTCAGAAATTGGAGTACATCAATTCCCGAAGGACAAGAAAACTGGAAGACTGTGATTAAAGCCCATTTGACGCGAAAAATGTACTCCCACAAAAAGTTCGAGGTTATGTCGTAAACACTGTGGAATCTGACCATAAAAACATTAGTAAATACACAGGTATGCTTCTTTCTGTCAAATATTTATAATGCATGACTAGGTGTAGCACACATCTTTGTTCTGTTATTAAAAAAATCCAATAATAATTAGTTAGGCACACTATTAGTTGCTAACATATTTTGCAAGTAGATTTATGCTGTAAGGAACCTTTTAACAAACACAAAATCAGACTGAAGGAAATACATTCCTCATGAGCTGTTGTCCATTATCAGCTGTTACTATTGAAAGTTCTATCTAAATCGCTGCATCCATTGTAATAACAAATATTTTGAAACTATGGTCAGGTTTCCTTGTGATAGTATATTTAAATGTTTTTCTTTGTGTTGTAGGTGTTAAACATTAACATAAATATCTGAAGAAAGGTGCTGTACCATCTATATTTTCATAGAATATGAAACCAGTTTCTGAGGAAACAAAAAGTAGAGAACAAAGGTTACAAACTTGTAACCTTAAAAAACAGCTTTTTAGCCTGAAGAACACAGCAATGTGCATTTTGATTCAAATGTCTCTCAAGAAATTCTAATAGAAAATAATAACTCTAGTATAGATGAAACAATTACAAGGCATCATAATATATTACTATTGGAACTCAAACATCCAATATATTAAGATAGTTCTCTACAGAGCTATTACTTGCAGATGATGAGACAGTGCAATACTACACCGGGTTGGAAACAGCATCTAAGTTTTCATTAGTTTTAATCACACTTTTGCCAATGTCAAATGATATAAGGTATCGCTGGAGTAAGCTTAGAAGAAACACAACACTTTTTTAATTAAGTAAAATTTTCGGTGTAAGTAAAACTGAAGTGTCTAATTTTGTTGTAAGATGGATAAATTTTGTCAGTGATATCTAGAGCCTAATTGACATTTGGCCTAGCCGCAGCTTAGTAAATTATTATATGCCTAATTGTTTTAGAACACATTATCTCTCCACAAGGGTGATTATAGATGGGACTAAAATAGGCATACAGAAGCCTAGTCAACCTGATGCTCAAAAAGCGTCATTTAGTTCTTATAAACATAAAAATACCTTGAAATTTTTGGTAGGAGCTTCACCAGGGGGATTATTATCATATGTTTCAAACGGCTACGCTGGTTCTGCAAGTGATCGACAGAGAGTAGAACGAAGTAAGCTGCTGCAGATTTGTGATTCTGGAGATAGTATTATGGCAGACAGAGGTTTTAATGTACAGGATCTGTTTGCCTCTAAAGGAATTAGTATATATATCCCATCTTTTTTAAAAGGTAAATCACAAATCCCAGGTGTTCAGTTAAAGATAGATCAAAAATTTGTTAGTCAGAGGGTTCACATAGAACGATTAATTTCATATGTGTAATGTTATGTAATTTTAGAGAAGGAATTGTCAATAAAAATAATTAAAAATATTCCTGATTTTTTATTTCGACAAGTGTGTATAGTTATAATACAGATATTTTTCATACAATGCTTCTTTGAAAATATTTTCATAAAAGGTATCTAATTTATTTAACATATTATTTATAAAATTATTGTCTTTTTCAACATAATCACTTTGATGTCCTTGTAGGTGTAAATGACCAAGTTGCAGTATGTTTTGCCTGAGCAGTATAACTGCCCTTGGATTTGATAATAATATGGGCAGGTTTTTTTAGAGACAATATCCCGTTACATTGTTCTAAGTAAGGCACCGTTGTTATATTTATTTCATGTTTTCTGCTAGCGTATGGATATTTCACTTCAATTATAGTTTCTTCGCCCAACACACCATCAGGAGATGCAGCAAGATATGGGCGCTCTTGGCTAATGAAAATGCCACATGGCTCCACTAGCAAATCATATATATTAGCATATTTTGCTAGAGCAATTTTTTCATTTTGTTTCAAAATTAAAATTTTGGTCATATAGCTCTAATCTGAAAAAAGTAAAATAATACATTAGTTGGTAGTTTATGTGTATAATATGAGCAATTCTTTTTGCACATGCTACAAGGAATACAGTTCCTAAGGTACACAATTTAATATTATTATTATAATAGCTACCGGAAACAGTTTGAGAGAAGTTTTCTAAGTTAAAATAAAACATCAACATTGTACCTTTCGACAAAATGCACTTTTTTTCCTCGTAAAGATGCACCACGTTTTCTCAACTCTTCCTTTAATTCTTTAACTATCCAGTTGGAATACATGTTGTAAAACTGTTTAGCACTACTTAGAAAGTAATAAGAACCGTATCAAAGTCACAAAATGCCGAAATATCACGAACGCAAAACACACAAAATGGCGGCTCTCTGTGACAAGGGAACAAGGTACGCTGGCGACATCTGAGAAAAGCTTTAACCGGCCAACCCCATTCGGCGGATTACCGATACACGAATACAAGCTGTATTACGAATATCTTAGTGAATACTAATATAACGGTATCACCCTTAGTGATGAAATTTGTTATTGGCTGTCTGAAATTTTAGCTTTATAAAATTCGTCAAAGAAAAACTGCGTACATATCTAATATTATAAACTAGAATATATCTGTGTTAACATGAACACCTTAGTCAGAAGAAGTTTTCAAGCATTTAATACCACATTGAAGATATCCTGTCGCGCATTTTCAGAAGCTGGAATAAATGACAAAATTGAAAAAATAGTTAAAAATAACAAAGTCGTGGTGTTTATGAAAGGCGTACCGGACGCGCCAAGATGCGGTTTCAGTAATGCTGTTGTTCAGATTATGAGGATGCATGCAGTTCCGTACGAGAGCCATGATGTGTTGAGTGATGAAAATCTTAGACAAGGTGAGTTCGATGCAAAGTAACCTATACAAAAGTAGTGACTAGAATTACGTAAATTTTTGTAGTAGCAATAATTTCTTTTATTCAATGCTGATAAAAAATATTTTAAGGTGCACTTATGTAGCAATAAACAATTCACATAGTCACTGTCAAGATGTTATTTTCATAAAAATTGGTTTAATTACATGAAAACTAAACTTTAGCTGCTGCATAAAATTTTGACTTGTGCATTACCTACCAGGCCTTTATTACAATTTGGAAAAGCGAAGTTTTTGACTAATGTTCCCTGCTGCCTACTTTGAGTATCATTTAAAAGAAAATGAATGTCATAAGATGATAGACTAATTATTTTACCCACTAGTTTGTCCTTTTAAATGTGATTGTCATTGAAATTACAATAGGCAAACGGAAAAATTATCTCTTATGGTACTGAAATTACAACACATTGAATGCCATAATGGACATCATGTGTCCGACAACATACTATTCCTTGGGGCTGTACTAATGTGTAAACTCTAAAAATGTTAATGAATCTCTACAAAAGCAATTTTTGTAAAAAGTAGATATTATCTCTGATATTGGAAATTGTTTGAATGTATGAAGTTACGATTATAACAATATTTTGCAGGTATAAAAGATTATTCGAATTGGCCTACAATACCTCAAGTCTTTATCAATGGTGAATTTGTTGGTGGTTGTGACATAATGCTGCAGATGCACCAATCTGGTGAACTCATTGAGGAACTGAAGAAAGTGGGTATAAAAAGTGCACTTTTAACAGCTGAAGAGGCAAAGCAAGGGGAGAAGAAAAATTAAAATACCCATCTCAGGTATTATGTATTTGATTTTGTAGTTTTCTATTTGTATTAGAAATTATTGTTTTAATTCATTTTAAGTGGTGGTACTGTATAGAAACAAAGACATAATTGTTAAAATTAAAGTATTTATGAAGAAATCTCTGATGTAATAAGAATTTGTTAAAGTGTGACGATTTTTTGTTTTTGAAAGCCCAAGTCCTTATATTATTTGTGTTGTTTTAATAATTTTGTTGTAATAGTTAGTGCTTAGTTTTAGGTAGTTATTGTGAAATAAAGTAATGCAAGTTTAAGAGCTCTTTATTTAATAATTAGCTGTACATTCGAGTTAGTATACTTTTTGGGCACATAATAATTTTTTCTTAATCTAAGTACCATACTCCATGTAAAATAAATTGGTTGGATTAACAATGTAGTCAATATTAAAAGACGAAAATATGGCAGATCATTTATTTACGAGTACTCATTCAAAAATACTCTCACAAACGACAATAAATATATAAAAAAAGATAAATAAATTGATGCAGGCAAGTTATGGCAATCTATGATATAAATAATTTGTGTGACACTTCCCTGCACTTAAGAATTTAGTAAATTTTAGTTTTGCTACCTTTGAAATAAAACATATTTTTAATGGTAGTTATAAAAATGAAACTTGTATAAATAAACTTAAAATAAAATAACAAAAACATTCTCACAATGTGAATGAGTCTTAATTTGGTGTCACACATTAGTCAAGCCTAACATTAGCACCATTTTATCTTACAAATAATTTTGTGACTTTGCTGAGAATTTCATATAAAAGTTAAAAAATATCTAATGCTATGATATAAATAGAGAGATTTAAACAATATAAATGATTTCTCCAATTTGAGCCAAAGGTTAACATTACTGAACAAAAATGAATGGCATTTTTGGTTTGTACATTGCACATGATATTTAAAGAACTGCATGGTTACTTTAAAAACATTTTTACTCTGCATTGACCATAGTATTTAGGGCGTGAATAGGTCTGGTCAGTGTAGGAAAAAGTTTTTAATTTATTTTATTACGCCATTGTNTATAAATGATTTCTCCAATTTGAGCCAAAGGTTAACATTACTGAACAAAAATGAATGGCATTTTTGGTTTGTACATTGCACATGATATTTAAAGAACTGCATGGTTACTTTAAAAACATTTTTACTCTGCATTGACCATAGTATTTAGGGCGTGAATAGGTCTGGTCAGTGTAGGAAAAAGTTTTTAATTTATTTTATTTCGCCATTGTCGCTTCTCTGGCCCTCTTTAATATATTTGAATGACTATGTGACTTGGGTCTTCTCATTTTATGCCTTCTCTGATTGATGACACGGCTGAAGATGATATCCTTTGATATGGCCCCTTCTCTCTGCATCTGTATTAAGCACGTCAGTCTATAAAGGAGGACTTCCTATATGTAATTGTTTAACAAAAATAAAAATCTTACATACTTTGGTAATTTAATTGGTAAATTAACTATAAGTAGAGTATTGCAGATTTAATTACCGTCCGTATCAGTGCAGACTTGTTTGATGCTGCACAGTGTATTTTCTTATTTGGGAAGTTAAAATTAACATTATTTAACTTAAAGTTAAAGAGACAAGGCGATTGTGAGTTTGATGTTTTAATTGCAATGGAATTGTAACCTATAATAATTTAAATAGAAAAACAGAAATAGGCAGGACATGCCTCTTGTGTGCCCTAACATAACCATTAAAATACAATAATAACATTTATTTTTATTTTATTCTGTAATGATTGAAGTATGTACTTGATAGAACAAATGAGAAATGTTGTTTAAAAAAATGTAATAGGCTGCATATTGTACAGCGATTTACTCGCACGACGCTAAGTATGTTCGGTATGTTAACATTGTTAACTATATGGCTTCAGTTACAAAATATTGATACGGTTTGCGTCCCCTTACTCATACCCGATCCTATGGACCGAATGGTAAACACTCGACGTCGCCTTTCGCAAGAGAAATACGAGAACGTCTATCAACTGTGTAACATCTCGTCATCGCGATTCAGGAATTGTTGAAATTACATGCAGCGACGTCTGTTGATAACAAACTAAACAGAAATAGTTGTAAATCATCTTTTATAGTATGAGGTAGCACCCTCTGTGAATTGATATTTTAACTTCACGTTTCATTTTTGCGTTTCATCGAGTTTGAAATCACATCGCAACAATTCTAAAGAAGTTTCACTTCAAAAAGTCACCTTAGAGGTCGGTTTCGCCGTAGAGTGCGGTGGAGAAGGCCATGTAGTCGAGGGAGCCGGGCGGCGCGCCGGGCCCGCGGTACGGCGGCATGCGCGCCACGCAGTACTCCGCCTGGTCGGGCGGCAGCTCGCGGCGCAACTCCTCCGCCGTTATGTACGGCTGGAGCACGTAATGGATGTCGTGAACATTGGGTTACAAGTGGACGCCCGAAAAATCTTTGCTATTATAATATAACTAGCTGTACCCGTCCGCTTCGCTGGACATTTAAAATTAACATTATTATTTCTCACCCCCACAAAGATTCTCAGCATTAACGCCCCCGCAACTGGTGTAGGGAGTCGAACACTCATATAAATATTAGCCTTCCATTAAGTACATGTATTTTCTACATGAATACCAAGTTTCAAGTCAATCGGATGCATGGTTCAGTAGTTTATAATGGAACATCATAAAAACGACTGTAGATTTATATATTAGTATAGATATAGACTAGCCGTACTCGCCCGCTTCGCTGAGCATTTAAAATTAACATTATTGTTTATTGTCATTATTATTATTAGGGAGTTCAACATTCATATAAATATTAGCCTATCCATTAAGTACATGTATTTTCTAAATGGATACCAAGTTTCGAGTCAATCGAATGCACGGTTCAGTCGTTATAACGGAACATCCTTAAAAACCACTGTAGATTTATATATTAGTATAAAGTATAGATTAAAAAAAAACATTAATGTGATCTGGTAAAAAGGAAAACCTAACAATTTTTAAAAAAACAACGAATTCAGTATACCTTGTCACCAGCTAAGATCCTGAAGCTGTCAATGACTTGTTCGGCGGTGTCGGTATCCGTCGACTCCCTGGTCATAAAGTCCAGGAACGAATCGAATGACACGTAGCCTGGGAAGGAATAATCATATTATTATATAGCAAAAATATATATTAAGAAAAGTATTGCGAAAGCTCTTACCGGTATTGTTGGGATCGACAACAGCAAGAATACGTTGGAAGTCGAGTTCTCCTTGCCTGTCCTTGCCGATGCTGTAACCCAGGGAGACTAAGCACGATTTCAACTCCTCTGGCAGCAGACGGCCTACAAAAATTATAAAATTTATAATATTAGACTGTAGTAAATTTTTTGTTTAGAAAGAAAGGTCAGGTATAATCGTATTCTATATCAAAACAAACGGATATGTAGTGCATAAAATGAATATAAACCTTGATATTTGATTATAAAGTGTGTGAATACATAAAGTGACTTGACGGTTACAACAAAAAAGTACATCTATTTAATTTCTAATCTAATTTTATTAATCATTGTGTTCGTCAATCATGTTTTTAAATTTCGGTCAAGCTGTTTGTTCTGAGCGTTTTTCTTGTACACGAGAACGAGTCGTAAGAAAATCTCGCTAATTTAAATTTTGTGTGAAAAATTGAATTCGTCATTAGTTTCGGGAAATTGGAGTTATTAAGTTTCGTTACCTGTGCGGTTCTTGTCGAAGTGGTTGAATGAGGCGCGGAACTCTGTCAATTGCTCCTGAGTGATACCCTTGGAGTCGCGGGTGAGGATCTGGTTCTCCACTTCGTTGATGGTGCGGTTGATCGAGGTCAGGAGCTGTTCCCAGCCGACGCGCAGAGTCTCCATTGTGTATTGTGAATATCTGTAAGGATAATCGTTATTAATGTCTGGCAACTAATACAGAGGCGATTTCATGATGAAATGATATCTTAAAAAAAAAGAACTCTTAATGTCCTCTTAACTCCTTGATCAATGGCATTAAAAAGCGTTAGGTTAAAACTTTATCTTCACGGTGGGCTAACGATCTGACCATTATCGTGGAAATGCGACATAAAGAAGCTAATTTAAACCAGCCTCATCGGCAGTCTTTGACTGGTGGTAGGACCTTTTGTGAGTCCGCACGGGCAGATCCCACCACCCTGCCTATTTCTACCGTGAAGCAGTAATGCGTTTCGGTTTGTAGAGTGGGGCAGCCGTTGTAACTATACTGAGACTTTAAAACTCATATCTCAAGGTGGGTGACAGCATTTACGTTGTAATGTCTATGGGCTCCGGTAACCACTTAACACCAGGTGGGCTCTGAGCTCGTCCACCCATCTATGCAATAAATAAATAAAGCTTCTTACTTATTGCATTTCAAATGCATTCACCTGTTTTCGAAGATCATGCCTTCCTGGACAGCCTGGTGGATGCGTTCGAGTTCCTCAATGTGTGGCTTGTAAGCGTACACTCCAGCTTCGTATTCTTTAAGTCTGCGCAGCTGGTCTTCCAGAGAGCCCTGATATTGTTACATATGAGTCGACTATTATCAAAGGCGGCAATCTGACTTTTGGACAATGATTGGTAAATCAGAAAAACGAATTATTGACTTTGTATTCCATTGGCAGTCACAAAACTCTTCGGAACGACATCTTAGATAAATAACAGGTTAACTATTAACCTTTATTTAATGCAGGTTTTGAACCGTATTCTTTGAAGGAGACGATTATATNGACTTTGTATTCCATTGGCAGTCACAAAACTCTTCGGAACGACATCTTAGATAAATAACAGGTTAACTATTAACCTTTATTTAATGCAGGTTTTGAACCGTATTCTTTGAAGGAGACGATTATATTCAAATCAATCTGTATTGACATATCAATAAAATTTTTTTGTCCAAATGCACAGATTGCCACCTTTGATAATAGAGGACTCAATTATGTCATATTTAGTTTGAATGATAATTTAAAATCAACTTTAACATCGATATTACTGTTTGGTGACAAATGTTAAAAAAGCAGTAGTAGACGTGTATACTTATGATAGAGATAGAAATAAGAGGACACGTCCTTACGGATCCATCAGATCCAATAATCTTTGCATTAGACGCCTTCAGCTCTAATGCTAGGAGCAGGCTTAGGGCTCCGGTAACCATACTCGTCAAACTCGACAAAGAGGTCGACGTCCAACCTAACCCATGTATCAGCCCGCTGAGTTTCTCGCCGGATCTTCTCAGCGGGTCCTGATTCCGATCCGGTAGTAGATTCATTCGTGAAGTAATTGCTCTTGAGTTGTTAGGTCTCCTTCGGAGGCGCTCGGGCAGTTGTTAGCTAATCTCGCCCCTCTTGGCTAAGCTTTTGCTCGCCCACCTGTCCTCGTGAAACTGGAAAGGCCTTTGGGCTACCAGTAATCTTTCAATCATAAAACAAATCGGGGAGGCGAGACCGTGTGGAGCGCTTCGTGATTTGTCGGCGCCGCTCGGAGCCGCTTCGGCAAGCCAATCGCGGTACACTTATTTTCGTTTCGTTTCATTTCGTTTCATCGAGTTTGAAATTACACCCCACGATTCTAAAGAAGTTTCACTTCAAAAAAAAGATAAGAGGAGTAGTATTATTTCATGTGTTCACCTGCAGACCCATTCCGATGGCGGTGACGGCGTCCATTTGCCTCTCGATCCAAGGTCCGACTGCGTTGGCCTTTTCTGCGAACTGCCTTCGCAGGTTCTCGTTGTTCTGTTGCTTGCGAAGCTCTGCTGCCAGCGTCGCGTCGCGCTGCGGCACCAGCTGCCTCACGTCCGACCACTTGCGGTTCAACTCCTGTTCCAAAATAACAATCAAATTTACTAATTAATTCAAAATGGCCTCACGAATTCGTTTAGTACTGATTGAAAAAAAACTATAGATATTACTTTTTTTGCGATTCGGGTGTAGTTTACTTGGGATTTCGTACTCTAGACTGTAATTAGTCATATAGAATTGCTTTTTTTAAATATGGTCATCTAATTATCAACAATAGGCATTAGAACATGTTACAATTTAAAATTGCGAAATTTGAAAAGTTCACACGATTTTAGATGCTATTATTAAAGATGATTTCAATTTGATCGATGTCTTACATGAGCTGTGAGAGTGGTGTATGGGTTCTCCAAACCGCCGGGGATCTGATGCTGCTTGACAATAGATTCGACTTGATGTACCAGGTTGACGATAGCCTGAAAAAAGTTGGATCAAAAGTAAATGAAGTGTTCCTCAAAATGAGACCGGCTTCGTCTCTTAGTTCTCGTGACCTACCTGGTATTCTTTGTCAGCCTCGCCGAGGGTTGCCTTGAAGCGAGCGTGAGCGTCCATGAGACCTGAGATTTCTTCGATGGTATGAACGATGAACATATCCACGAGATCTTCGCGAGTTCCGTCCAACCTAAAACATGGTAATCAATATAAGGCACGTTTCAATATTCTTTTTTTTTTTTTTCTAAGATTACTCATGAGTCGTGTATGAAATGTTAGTTTCATTATAGAGAAAAAAATAGCTCCTCCTCCAAATATATACCTGATATTGAAACTTTTGAAATCAGATCTAAAGAGAATTTTTTGTTTATGTCATACAAATTTAATGTTGATAACTTAAGGATTCAAACTCAAAGAATTATTGTTAAATTATTCTCTCATAAAAACTCGTTTGTCCTTGTTTACAATAATGAATTCCAATATTTCACGTTTTCAATTAAGCCCAATTATCACTTAGGTCATGAGACTTACTTTTGTTTCAATATCTTATGACGTCAGAAGGAACCGACATGCATACAACGTTGTGATATTTCAAAAGTAAATAAAGAGTTATGGAAGATTTAATTTAAAAGTACAAATTTCGACTTTTATTTTAAATACAATGTTAAGTTATAGTGAAATCTTGAGCCCACAATAAACTATTTAATTTACTAAATTTTAATGATTTGCGTGTGGACTTGAATAGTATTTATTGTTAGTCTGAGTAGTGCAACAGCAACAGTACTAGTAGTGTTAGTGGTGAAAATAAAGAGTTGGTATCATCAGTAGTGGTAAAGCAGTGACACGTACTTTTTTTTTCCTACCCATTCTAGTAACCTCGAGGGGTTATTCTAGATTCACTGAACTAGTAGGTGAGCTCTCGGGGCTCAAACGCTGAGTGTTGCTAACACTAGCTCTAGCAAGAGCAGTGTTTCTCAGAATCTACCGCCGGATCGGAAACGCGACCCACTGAGAAGATCCGGCGAGAAACTCAGTGGGCTGTGTCTGTGAATTAGTTTATTCGTCGAGCCCTTCCCCGCAATCGTCGGGTTCGGCGAGAACGGTGACCGGTGCTTGAGATACCTAAAATCACCATTAATGGATCGGGAGGATCCGTAATGACGTATTTTGGGCGACGTCAACTGTTACCATTTGATCCACAGGATCGGGTATGTAATTACCTGGTGGTAGGACCTCTTGTGAGTCCGCACGTGTAGGTACCACCACCTCGCCTATTTCTGCCGTGAAGCAGTAATGCGTTTCGGTTTGAAGGGCGGAGTAACGGTTGTTACTATACTAAGACTTTACAGCTTATATCTCAAGGTGGGTGGCGCGTTTACGTTGTAGATATCTATAGGCTCCAGTAACCACTTAACACCAGGTGGGCTGTGAGCTCGTCCACCCACCTACGTAATAAAAAAAAAATTACCGGCGGCCACGACAAGAGGGTTTTCATGTTGTGCCGCCTTCTCAAAGTGGGCACGTACCAGTTGTTGAATGGTGCAGCGCGTTTGGCGAATTCGAGATGCAGCAGGTCGATCTGCTCGAGCACGCGCTCTGCGTCGTCGAGTGCGTGCCGGCGGCGCTGCGTGAGCGCGCCGAGCCGGTCCCACTGCGAGCAGATGCGCTGGCAACGCGCGTTCACGCTCGCCACCTCGTGGTACTCGAGGGTGCTGTCAAACAAGCGCCAATACTTATCACTACATAGTATAAAACAAAGTCGCTTTCTCTGTCCCTATATCCCTATATATGCTTAAATCTTTAAAACTACGCAACGGATTTTGATGCGGCTTTTTTTAATAGATAGAGTGATGGAAAAGGAAGGTTTATATGTATAACTAGCGACCCGCCCTCGCTTCGCTTCGGAAACATTAAATTTTATTATTGACAGCTGAATCCCGCGATGTAACCCGCGGTTATTGTCGTACCGCGGATTGCGCCGCGAGGCGAAGCTAGTCTAAAAAAAGTAGCCTAAGTTACTCCTTATATCATCAGCTACCTATCAGTGAAAGTCAAAATCGGTCCAACCGTTCCAGAGAATAGCCGGAACAAATAGACAGACAAACAGACAAAAATTGTAGATGAAATTAATTATTGTTAATTCAGTTTGCTCTTTATGTATATTTTTTTTTATTTTTTATTAGATATATTTATTACTGTTAAAAATATTCCAGCAGAGCAGTATGATCAATTAGCTCATATTTGATAAGGCCACATCCGTCGAAAATTGCTTATCATGAGAATATTTTTGTTTAAAATAAAGTTTTGCAAACGAGCTCATAATATATATATTTAAATAGGTATGAATAACATATAATTAGAAAGATTTATGTTGTAATTTAATTATGTTACTAGTAATAATTTGTGCGCAACAATGACTGATCACTAAAATTAATTAAGTGGGGTATTATGTTTTATTTAAATCGGCATCTTATGTATGATGTATACATATCAATAATTACATAACAAAGTGTAAAAAAATGCAGAAAAGAATATTAATAAACTAATAATACGAAAAGTATTTGGTTGTTTTTAATATAAATATATAGTATATCTTACTTAAAAGTCTGGTTTCTGAGCATTTCATAATTTCAGTGACAGACGAATGTATGTACATATAATATTTGCGTCGAATCAGCTGTATTGCCTGAAATAATTCGGCAACCCAGCAAAAATGTCGGCCAGCATACCGGTCTAATTGTTTTTGCCGTATCTAGCCTATTGCCTTTTATTCACTCAAACAAATTACCCTGGGTTCGGAGGGGAGGTCCGGTCAGCTTCCTTCGGTTTTTATTGCGTTTTTGAGCTAGCGAAATCAACAGCAGTTTATGCTTAGCTGCGCAATTTCGTATTGTATTCCCTTCACGTTTTTATTTAGTTACTAGCTGACCCGGTAGACCTCGTATTGCCTCAATCGATAAATAAAAGACCTAAACTTTTGTATAAAATAAACTTAAAACAAACAAAAGGAATCCGTCCGACGGGGAACATATCAAAGGAAAAACAAAATTGTTATTTTTATTTAATTCCGAGCATTTTCATATTTATTTACCTTTTAAACCTTCTCTGGACTTCCACAAATAATTCAAGACCAAAATTAGCCAAATCGGTCCAGCCGTTCTCGACTTTTAGCGAGACTAACGAACAGCAATTCATTTATATATATATATATATTGTTTTTTGGGATACGATGACACTCTCATGACACCCTGTTTAAGTAAGGTAAGTACTTATTGACGTACTTGAGCTCCTGGGCGATGGCCGCGATTTGCTCGACACGATCTTGGTGGGCGGCCAGGTCGGATTCGAAGGCCTCGTGCTTCTTCTTGAGAGCTTTGATGTCGTTGAGCTTACATTGACGGAAGTCCTGGGACTGTAGCATCTCTTCCTTGCCTAAAAGAGCATCAAAATGTTAAATCAGACTTCAGCATCTTTTTGTTTTAAGCAGCTTACCAATTTTAAACTCATTGTGTTAATGACGTGTTTATGTTTACTGCGATGGTATTTTGGTGATAGAACCAGTTACGGAAAATATCGTCGCTGTCAAACCAAAATCTGCTATGTGCAAAAACTCTATTTTAAATTAACGAGTAAAAACATTTTCGTGTAAAATGTTATAATAATATGAAGGTGAATTTTTAAGAACTATATCTAATGAAAGCTATAGATAAATATTAAAGCTATAGACACATAACAGTTTTTTTATACGGTAGGTAGGGCTGTGAACTATACGAAAAGGTCAAAAAGTGTATATCTCAAAAAGTGCACATAGCAGATTTTGGTTTGACAACGACGATATATTACTATGACAATTTTTTTTTTGTTAGCAGTTTAAAGAAATCTCGCCTCTAGTCCAGTCTTCATGGATGTCGGCCTTGTGCTTGAACTTCTGAGCGAGGTATTCGAGTCGCTCGAGACGCATCATTTCACTGAGAAGCCATTCCTCGAATGCCTTCTCGGCGATCTCTAGGCCCTTCCATGCTTGAGCGATGTCCTAATAAATAAACAAAATATTTTTGTTTACAAGTGACTTGAGACTTGGTCCGCCTGTCAAACAGATTGGTACATGAGATTTGGGGCGTGTAAGACCAACAGACACCACGATATTCACCAAACATTTACGCGAAAAGGGGTATTAAGATAACTCGTCTATCGCCAAACCAGACAAGCACAAATACACGAGTGTTGGCTAATCGAACACCCATCGAGTTTGTCGAATTAACTCGAATGCAGGTTGCGAGAGTGAAACTATACTATGAATGTTTCCAACTAGATACTCACAGAAACCATTTTGCCTTCGGTGGGCATGTACGCAGGACGGTTGCTCAACCTAAGCTTGGTCTGAAGGGTGTTGAAGTTGGTCTCCAGTTTGGCCTTCTGTTCTACACGTGGTGGCTTGTGCTTACGCCTGAAATTATTTGAGGTATTGTAATATTAAGACAACGAGTAAGATTCTTAATGAAAGTTTGTATAGTTATTTTTTTACCTGTAAGTACGGTAGTCTTCCAGTTTTTTTTGGCACCCGGCAAGAGAGTTGTCGGTCTGACGGCTGTTCAGCCATGGCATGGTGCGACGGATCCAGTCCAAGAGCTGAAATTGGATAAAAACAGGATAAAAATCCATAGGATAAAATTCTGTATAAGGCGTGAATAAGTTGACAAGCCAACGATGAACACGTTTATATGCCATTATTTTTATTTTTAATAGAATAATTTATTAACTTCCTCAAATTATGAACAAATAGTATTAATTAACTTGAATTAGGGCTTACAGCTAAGATTGAAGCTTTAAAATGGCAGCCCTGTAAAGTCTACATTTGTGACATATCAACTTACACCTTGTACCTAATTTACACTTAACACCAATGCTGTGGATACTCACGTCACTGGCAAGACGTTCGTACTCTTCCATTAGGCGTTCGTTCTCCTGGTTGACTTTGAGAACTTTGCAAATACGGTTCGCGGCCGTTTCAGCCTGAAAAATGTAAAATCACGCATAACCGTTAAAGTTTAAGTTAACAAATTGTTTGACAGAGAATATGATTCGTTGACTATTCGATATAAAATGATATACATGAATTTTATTGGGTAATCTTTATGTATAATAATGAATTGCTGTTCGTTAATCTCGCTACAACTCGAGAATGGCTGAACCGATTTGGCTAATTTTGGTCTTGAATTATTTGTGGAAGTCCAGAGAAGGTTTAAAAGGTAGATAAATATGAAAATGCCCGAAATTAAATAAAAATAACAATTTTGTTTTTCCTTTGAGGTGTCGGACGGATTCCTTTTGTTTCTTTTAAGTTAATTTTATACAAAAGTTTAGGTCTTTTATTTATCGATTTAGGCACTACGAAGTCTGCCGGGTCAGCTAGTTCTTAAATATTATCATTTCTATATACAAACCTTTTGCGCCCCAGAGAAGCAATGGTAGTACGAGGAGACGTAAGTCATGACGGCTCTCTCGTCCGGCATCGCCGTGTTCTGCAGATCTGATAAGCGGCACGCAAGCGACACGTTGTTAGTTCTCATGCGATGGAGTTGTTTTTAAAGAATGCTTGTGTTATCATAGGCCACACTTACACTTTTAGTATAAATAAATATAAATGAAAACGATATTTAAATAATCCCAAAATTGAGTGTTACTCGATTCTTTACTTATTCGCTCATCTTTCATTAATTATTATTGGTCTTACCTAAATATGATTTAAGAAACGAGAGTGTTACCAAATTGAAAGCTTATTTAAAACCTTGGTACACAAGCATTCTGAATTGCATTTATTATCAATACAGATAGATATAATGAAAGAGGTTAACAACATAAAGCTAATTCTAAAGTTATGATAAACATAAAATACGTTGCTGGTTTTCAGAATATCGATAGGTTATCAACATATACATATACTATATTATGTATATATCGAAGTTCATTGATTGATATCTGCGGTTGCCACTAATTTACGAAGAAGAAATTCACCTATTTCGGAAAAGGTTCTCCTCAAGAGGCAAATCTGTATAAGCTTTAATGTACCTATAGATAACTTCTACACTCGTTTCATGCTATGAGTTTTCACACAAAAGGCGGTTAGGGTTCCGAGTATCAAACGCTGTATTTTGCGTTGGTACTGCATACAGCAGCCATGTTTATACCTGTTGCGCGCCTTGGAAGGCGTGGTAGTAACACGACACATAGGTCATAATGGCGCGCTCGTCCGGCTTGGGCGTGTTTATTAGGTCTGCAATGTTTACGTATTATTTATTTTTACCTTCATAAGAAATGTAACTTTGGTCAGATAAATTATTTATAATTCAAGTTTAATAAGTCGTGTGGAAGTTCTTACCGTCAGGGTCTAACATGCGGGGGATGTCGAGATATTTCTCGGCTACGTCGAAAGCGGTGTTCAAGTTCTCGAGGGGATTGTCCTTGGAGAGTTTACTGTAGTCGATGAGGTCTGGCCTGTGCCTGTGAATGAGGGCACAGAAGGCCAGACCGTCCTTGAACGACAGGTGGAAGTTCTGGACATTGACATTCTTGTACGGCGCTGTCTTACGTTGACACCAGAGCAACAGACCTTCCTGAGAACGATTTTTCATTTAATTAGCTTAATTTTCAATTACATGCATTTGTAATTTAATTGATTAGAGATTAGATTTACCTTTGCGGTCATTTCTTCAACTGAGATGTCTTGGATGGCGAAGCGGAGAATAATGGTCCAAATCATACCAAGAGTCATCTTAAGGTTACCATCGACGATTTCTTCGGCACCAATTGACACAAGCTTCACACCTAAAATTTCATTAAAATACATTCTACTAATGCGAATAGCCGCTGTGCTAAGGATAATTTATTAATGGGAATGGACAGTGAAGCATATTGAGGAAAAGCACTCTTACTATAGATCCTATATATTATTTATTTAGCTTAGGACATAGGAAACGTGTCCATAGTTATTATAAGTTCAAATATTAAAAGTTTACGTATGTTAAGTTTTAACTTTGCGTAGGTACCTACATGTGTACAAACAAATATGGATTTATTTCCCTTATCGCGAGTATTTTGGAACTATGATAAATTCTTAGTATTGATATTAATGAATAGCTTAATCCAGGTTTCAGTATTGAAATTCATCTTTTTTTATTTTATAAACTTTTCAAAACGGCAGCTAAAAATTTTTGTTGTTAGTACCTATGTAATTATGTGTGTGTATATAGTGTAAATAGTTACTAACTAGTCAAGAACTATTTTTTTATATTCCCCATACCTAGTCGCTGGTAGCTTAAGGGGCTATTGCAGCTACGCCCGGACTGGGTGGCAGAGCTCACGGGCTCGACCTGAGAGAATTTGCTAACACTAGCAAGAGCAGTGCTTCGCAGAATTCTTAGAGGTAGATTTACGACCGGATCGGAATCGCGACTCACTCAGAAGATCCAGCGAGAAACTCAGTGGGCTAAGAACTATAGAGACTATATAGATACACATAAAACTGAGATTAATACGTAAAGGTATGTTTACATCTCGGTTATTCTCTATCACTCTTATTATCTTATCTTTAGCAGCTCACGATAATTGTTGAAACGATGGTATTGAAAGCAATTACCTTTTGAGGCGATGAAGTCGAGCGCCTTGTTGACGTTAGCGATTTTGTGGAATCGCATTTTGCCACGGTCGGGCTTGGGCAGAGTCTCGCCGGAGATGACCTCCAGCAGCAGCATGAGCTTCAGGCCATTGCGGAAGTCGTCCTCGATGTTCTCGATGCCGGTGCCAGCTTTTCTTAGGTGGCTGTTGCACCATGCTGTGAATGTCTGCAATACGTAAACAATTCAAATTTAATGTCGTGTATTACTCGTGACTCCTCAACGAGCTAAAGTTGACCAGAGGCTATCCGCCAAATGCCTATATAGAGTGCTCCAATATTTTGGTCATATAGCAAGAAAACCCTCTGACAACCTGGAGAGACTCATAGTGACGGGTAAAATGGATGGAAGACGTTCCAGAGGTCGGAGCCGAAAAAGATGGAGTGACCAAGCATCTGAGTGTCTGGACATGAGACTGAGCCAAGCACTTCACTGTGCCACTGACCGACAAAAGTGGCTACAAATTACAAAAAAAGGTCACAGTATGGCGCATTATGATGCTCAGCAATGAGCGATCGACTGAAGGAGGAGGATTATTCGTGAAATTCTACTTCTCGCATTAAAACTGTATAATCTCAAAACTTACTAATTTTGCAGGAGAGCGTTTTAAAGGTTTAACATGTGATATTTTTAACATTAATCATCTTTGCAACATTTATTTTATATTTTTTACCAGTTACATTATCTGTCTTTTAAAGTAAGATCAAATTATGTATTAATTTTGTTAATAGTAGTCAAAATATAGGTAAACTAAAAAAAGAACTAAAACTAAACTACGCTCTTTTGAATTTGAATTTGAATTTTGACAGCATTTATGAGAAAAATACTGGTGATTCCGCATATTACCTCAAATTCGAATATTTTTGGAAATTGTACACTTTTAATGCGGAAAGACGATATATGCCATGATACGATGGTTGATATTTGATTTAATACGTTTTTTTTAATAGTTATAACTTTAAAGAGTTGACTAAGTCTTTCGTCAGTTACATATTTGTAAAGGGTCAATATGGTTGATGACTATTCTAAATATGTTTTGTCTTCAATTTTTTGTTGCAATATCATAGTTTTAAGGAATATAAAGTAAAATACGAGCTGCAGATGTGATGTTAATCAATACTGCAGTCGCGTTGGAGGAGGGGTGTACAGATAGGGGTTCGACCCTTCCCGCTGAATTCGCTTAAATACTTAGGTACATGTACGTGTGCCGCTCGCCAGATATCCGAGTTATTGCAAATTTTTCCTATTTTAAATTATTCGAATTTTTTTTCGAGTTCTATGTCGATTATCGTTCAAGAATGCAATTTGTGATGTGAATATTGTGATAAATATACTATTAAGAGACCGTTGATTCGTCGTTTGACCTTTACGTTCACATCGGTTCTTGGCGTCTGATTGCATTATCATGCATGATTGCAGATTATGCGATAAAATCTTTTGGTTAATCCAAATCTAATCGCGTTGAGAACAACCGCAAACATTTGTTAGATCACGATTGTTATTTCTTGGAGAGATAATTTCATCATGACCACATTTAGGCGGCATTTCGAACGGTTGTATTTTTAAACTATATTGATCAAATGTAATTTTTAAGGAACCGTTTGAATGGTGCTGCCTTAACAATCCATTGTACATTGTTGACTATACTTGTAATGTATTGAGCTATTTGAGAACGGTAATCCTTATTGTAAACACGACTGGTTCAGCTAGCGTAGTCAAGGCCGTTGTGGATAAAAATAATATTTAGTCTACACAATAGTCTGCGTGATCATGTTCAATACAAGCCAAATAAAATTGTTACCTATACTATTAGGTTGCATAATACCATTTCACCATGGTATTAACTTATGATATTCCCTCGGTTTTATGGAGATGTTATAACGGTTCATCGTTTGTCTAATTAGTATCAACGATCTATTGTTCTGTGTTTCGCAGGCTGCGTAGATATAAATGTGACATGTGATGTGAGACATTAGCAAAGAAATCTATCGACAAGCATTTTTATTAAAACGTAATAGATTATCGTCCTAATGTCAATAGCAGTAAATTGATTTTGCTTTTGAAAGAACTTAAAATTTATAGTGTATGTCCTATAAATTATAGGAAGTAAGATGCGATGATGTGATTATTGCGGAACATAAAGTGATGTGAGAAATCTATATACATATATAAAAATGAATTGCTGTTCGTTAGTCTCACTAGAACTCGAGAACGGCTGGACCGATTTGGCTAATTTTGGTCTTGAATTATTTGTGGAAGTCCAGAGAAGGTTTAAAAGGTAGATAAATATGAATTAAATAAAAATAACAATTTTGTTTTTCCTTTGATGTGTCCCCCGTCGGACGGATTTCTTTTGTTTGTTTTAAGTTTATTTTACACAAAAGTTTAGGTCTTTTATTTATCGATTGAGGCACTACGAAGTCTGACGGGTCAGCTAGTTAGCTATAATTATTAATCGGCAGGCATTTTGAAAACAATTTAATCGAGTTGAAAATCGATTTCAAAAGCAGTAAACTGATTTTGCCAATAAAAAAACCTTTGAATGTATTGATCTAGGCTACAGATAATTGTGTAGAAGGTGAGGTGAGCAGATATTTGGTTGCTGCGGAACATAAAGTGACCAAACTACATTCTGAGATCGTGACGAATGAATCATCTTGGGAACTCGTCTTGGCACGGGACTGCGTTAATAATACCACATGACCTACAGTTTACAAACTAATGAGCAAAGGGATGAATTAATATATTTTATTTGTGTAGATATACTATGTATTTATCTACAGTTTTATGCTATCAACGATGGAATAGTTATTTTATATTCGCACATTGAAATCTGTGATGTAATACTAAAGAGAAACTTAATTAAAATTCACTTCAATTACACCCAGCATTTTAAATTGAATAAGTGACATAATAAATATTACATAAATATGCTTAATCTCTCAAGAGAATTGATAGTAACGTCCCTGAGACAAAACACACGTCGTGACCCAGAATTGAAAATAATCTAGAATCACCTTGCGGGTGCCATCACGGTCAGTGTGTATTTAAAATAAATAGCGCAGGTGTGGACTGCGTCGAGTAGTTTGGAAGGATTGCGGCTGTAAAGATATCTCGTCTTCACTCGAACGAAGATAATGCTGTCAACACTTCTCATTCTACTTGAATGTCGGTCGTACATTTAATGCTTGCCAAAGTTTTGAAAGCTTCGAAACTAGCCTTGGGAATACAAGATTTTTGCTGACGATCTTATATAAAAATATCTAGTCTAGTTATATTATGTAGTGAAAGTTAGCGTGTAAGTTTTTTTTTATAGGATCCGAATTATGATAAAAACAAATTAAAAGAATTTGTGTTTTAACTGTGCTAGCTGTGTGTTGGCTAAAATTGTAAATCATAAGTTTTTCATTTGAAAGTTAGTCCCGAGTCACAAGTGAGGAGTAAATTTTATGTACATAACGTAGCTAGTGAGTATGCCATGATGAAAGTAAGAAATGACAAAAAATTATAACCGCAAACCTAGTTAAATATTTTGTGTTAATTTACTCTATCGAATAAGTCATTTAAATTTAAATTACTGGTGGTAGGATCTCTTTTGAGTCCGCACGGGTAGGTACCACCACCCCGCCTACTTCTGCCGTGAAGCAGTAATGCGTTTCGGTTTGAAGGGTGGGGCAGCCATTGTAATTATACTGAGACCCTAGAACTTATATCTTAAGGTGGGTGGCGCATTTACGTTGTAGATGTCTATGGGCTCCAGTAGCCACTTAATACCAGGTGGGCTGTCAGCTCGTCCACCCATCTAAGCAATAAAAAAACGCTGAATAAATGGGACGGAATAAACTAATTAAATCGTGGTCCATGCTATTAATAAGAAGCTAGGTATTGTCGTATTCGCGTTGCGTTATACCTTGGTCCCTGGGTTGGTACTATTTTTTTTAAATCGGCTGAACATCTCTTACTAAAAATTGACTCCTTAATATGATAAAATTGGCGTAATTAATCGTTTATTTGATACCTATTATTTGTCACGTGCCTCAAGGTCAGTAAAATTAATTGCTACTTTAAGTGTACGTTTTTAGTGTTGTTTTCAAACATTTCAGAACGTGCTCAGTCTAGTCTTTAGAACGGACACGGCGTAAAAGGCACGCATAATAAATACCGCTGGGCGAAAAACACCTTTCTTGAAGGTTAGTCTACAATCTAAACGGGATTCGCGGTCAGGGACGTCTTAAACTAGGATAGGGCCCTTGGGTACACAAGAATTTGAGGCCCTTTTGGAATGTAAAAAAAGCGAATTATAATAACTTTTTTTTACCGAGTATGACCATTTATTATAGGTAATCAAATACTGTATGATATAATATGTCATTAATGATATTAGAATGCTGCTGGTGTTTTGGTTACGATTTCGATAACGGTTTCTTTCGGGATTAGTGTTGAAATCTTCTATTATAGGCATAGTATACGCCTTCTATATACCTTCTGATTACTGATTTGTGAAAAAAGTGTAATGTGCCCGACAACAATGTTTTGAGAATAAACGTGTGAGAGAAATTGTCCGTCTTTCAGGGCCACCTAAGAATGGGGGCCCTGGGCACGGGCCCCGTGTGCCCTTATGGTAAAGACGGTATTGTTCACGGTATTCTATCAATGAGTTCTAAATACGAAAATGTATACTAATACGGATTTAGATTATAAATATCCTTAGTGGTTTATAATCTAGTCAGTAGAGTCATTTTCAACATTCTTAATAAGTACACATAAGAACTGCATTCTAAAAGTTATCTTACTGTCGTATTTCGTACAATACTGTATCAATGGCTGAGAGCGAATCGGATAGCGGTCAGACGTTATTGAGTTCATTGGAAATGCTTAAGGCAATCGTCTCGTGATAGTTCATAATGAATGTTTTACGGCGACCTATCGAATTGCAAGATAATAGTGTTGTACAAAGATCCATGATAGAAAAGGTTGAGGTTTATTTATTAATATTTAATTCCCATATTTGAAACGTATTTGCACTCTATTTGAAATTATTTATGTTTGTTTATGTGAAGGGTAACATTTAATGCATAGATTAGCAGATCAGCTCACAATCCATCTGGTGTTAACTGGTTTCCGGAGTCCATAGACACTACAATAGGTTTAGAGTTGAGTAGAAATCT